TAGGTGCTGGGCAGCCATCCATGCCACATCTCTTGGCTTGAACAATTATAAAAGGACTGGGGCTGGGCATGATGGCGCGCACCTGTAGTCCCAGGTATTTGAGATGCAGGCTTGGGGGGGGGTGTTGCTTGAACCCAGGAGTTTGAGGCCAGCCTGGGCAATGGAGTGAGACCCCATCTCTAAATTTCAAAAAAGACTAGTGAGCCCTTTCCTTGACCTTGCACCCCTGCTGGAAGAGATCAGGGTCAGCACCTGGTGCATTTCTCAAGTGCCACTCACAGCCTGACACTGTTCTCACCCAGAGTCCTGCACAGGGCTCACTGTTGCCCCCGCTGCTCAGTTTACAGCCCAGTGACAACAAGATGCATGTGAAGAAAGTGGCTGGTGTAGTCTGTGCCTTAGAGGAGGCAGCTAATGGCAGACCTGGAAACAGACAGGACAGGGGTGAGCTGGGGGTCTCCAACAACCCACAGCCGCTGAAGTGCTTCAGGGAGACCACCGGGCCGGGATGCAGGGCGGGATGGGTGTAGATGGTGAAAGCACTGCAGCTGGCACCACGTTGGTGCTGCATCCTTACAGGGTGCAGTGAAACAAAGCTAAAGCAAGAGTCCTGGGGCTGCACAGGAGAAATTGCGGGGTGGGGTGACAACAGAGTTGGTTGGACAGAGTGGATTTACAGCAGTGGGGAGGGGGTGGAGAGGGTCGAGGGGATTTGTAGGGACTTCTCAGGGCGGAAGAATGGATTAAAAGTCCTCTTTTTCTTGGGGGCAACCTGGAGCTAAGATACTTGACCTTTCTGTTTCCCGTTTTGCTATCTGTCAAATAAGGCTTTCGTGTTGGCCATTCTCTCCACTAGGAGCCCTCTTCCTGGCTGCAGGTTCACTGCCGCCCCCTCAGGGAAGTGCCCCTGCCCGCTGAAGTCGATGCCTTCTCGGGCCTCTGTGATGTCACCCTGGTCTAGTTCTCTTAGCCCTGGCCTTTCCTTCCCACTGTATAGTCAACAATATTTTTTGAGGTTTGAGTCACAGTACTTTATGGGTATTAACTCATGTGGTCTTCACAGTAACTCCATTGTGTATGCTGTTGTTATCCCCATCATACAAGGGCACAGAGAGGTTAAGTAATTTGCCAGTAAGGGGAGCTGAGATTTAAGCCCAGGCTTCCAGCAGCCACAGCCATGCCCTCGGCATCTCTGCTGTCGTGTATCTCTGTGTCCTTGGATTTTATCTCCCTTCTTAAACTCTCCACCTAGAAAGCATGGCTTTCAAGGATAGGGACTAGATTTGGATCATATCTGTGCTAGGACAGTGCCTGGCCCAGAGTGAGTGCTCAGTAAATGTTTGTGGAAGTATGAAGCAGGTAGGTGGCCACAGGGGCTCCCACAGGCGCTCCCCGGAAGAAACACACAGCCACCGTCCTCACTGTTCAGTGGCCGAAGCACATCCGCGGCTCCTCCCTGAGGAGGGTGGGGAGTGCAGTCCTGCTGCAGGAGGGGTGGGGGCCTGGGCCGGACCTCCGGCACTCTGGCCTGTGTGCGGCGGAGCAGACCCTGTGGGGCATGCGCTTCCTGAGCAGGCAGCGTGGAGCTCCGCAAGGGAGCAGGTGGATCAAGAACTTGCCACCTGGCAGGGCCACCAAGAACAGAGTAGGGCAGTAAGGGCCTCCCTACATGGCTAAGAAGCCAGCAAGGTCCCGACAGGCAGGGGCTTCCCACCAGCAAATGCCCAGTGCACTGGCTGGCTGCTGTCAGCGAGGCCAGTTAGGGCCAGGCACTCCAGTGGGGCCATCCAGAGACCCCAGCCCAACCCTGGAGCCCGGCACCCACCTTCCCAGTCTGTGATCCCCTCCCCAGCACCCCACCTGGCCCTCCTGCCGACACTCCTTCCCTCACAACTGCTTGGCCAACTCCTAGGCACCAGTGAGTTCAGACTCCTCGCTTCGGTGATATCACGCTTAGACCTGCCAGGTGGAATCTTCCTGCCACATTTGGTTCAGGCTAAAAGCAGGAGCCATCCTGGATTCTTTACTCTGTGTCGCTCCCTCCTTCCCCCACTGTGCCCCATCCCACAGATCCATCGGCAAGTGTTGGCATCTCTACGCGCAGGCTGTGTCCTAGACCCAGCCCTCCTGCCGCCGCTGCGCGTGGCCTTGCTCTTGGGAGCGAGGCTCTCAGATGTGGACATGCAGCCCCTCACTGCCTGCTCACAGCGCCAAGGGCTTCGTCCTGCTCGGGAGGAAACCACACCCTCCCTGTGGCCGTACAGCCCTGCGTGGTCTGGCCTGTCCACCCCACTGCCTCCCCTCCTCTAGGGTCCCTGCCACTCTGGAACAGCCTCTTGGATCCTCGAGCCTGCAAAATGCACCCCCATCCACCCCAGGGCCTTTGCCCTCACTGTTGCCTCTGCCCAGAAAGCCCCCTCATCACTCAAGCCTGTGTCTGTTCAGCTGCTCAGAGAAGCCTCCCTGCTGCGCCTGCAGGGCCCCCACTCAGCGCATGGGCAGGACCCGAGGCGTGCTGGACATCCACGGTGGCGCCTGGCTCGACAGACAAGTGGTGCTCACTTAATCCCTGAAGATCCCGAGTTCCCACTTCCTGAAGCGCCTTCCCTGCTTCCTGCTGCATTCCAGGCCCCTCCAGAGCCGAGGAGCCTTATCCTGGAAGTCCCTGACATGTCCTGTAAACACAGGAGGGGCGGATGGGGACAAAGAAGGGAGAGCAACCACCTCCTGAGGACCGAGAGGAGGCAGAGCCTGGTGGGCCTGGACCTGGACGCAGGTCAGCAGCCAGAGGGACCAGGCAGCCTGGGGTGGGGACAGTGCCCCGTGTGCAGAGGAGCCAGACAGCACAGCCCTGCAGTCATTGCTCCCTAGGAGCACAGGCCCCGGGTGCCAGAAAGTTGGGTTTTTCAAAAGAAGCCAGAAACCCAGATTTTATATGCACTCTCCCGTTTTTTAAATCTTGGCAACTAATAAATTCTTCCTGTTAATGTGTGGGCCAAAGAAAATCCATCTGTGGGCTAGGCTTGGCAGCCCCTCTCTTAAAAGCTGAGTGGGCAGAAGTGGGTGTGGGAGGGGCCTTCGAGGAGCAGGGCAGGGAGGAAGTGTGACCCACGCTGGCTGCCCTGGCTGGAGAGGCCTGGGTGTCAGAGCTGTTGCTATTAGGAGGCCTCCGAATTGCATGGAGAAGTGAGGCTCGTGGCTCATGAACAGCAACAGCTGGGCCTGCCATCTGGTAGCCCCAGCACAGGCAGGGGAGCAGGGCCACTCCAGTACTGCTTCCCTGCCAGGCCCATGCTGGCCGGGGGCTTGCTTCCTGCCATGCTCCTGGGGATAAACTTCAGAGGGTGTGGTCATCCTGGGGTAAAAATAGCACGGTCACCTTGCAACCAGGAGGTTTGCTTTGCTCGCACATGGAAATACAGTACCTGCAGGGCTCTGCTGTCAGCCAGGAGCTGCGCAGCTCATTGGGGGCAGGTGGACACTGGCCTTCTCCTCCATCCCCCACCAGGGGGCAGGAGAACACTGACCTCTGTGCAGCTAGAGGGTGACCTGGTGCTGAGTGTGCAATGGGGATGGTGGGGTCCAGGCCGCCCTGGGCCCTCTGTGGACTCCTGAGGAAGCACAGTGTTCCTAGAGGGGATACTCAACTACTTGGTGGTCCTCAGTGACTGAGGACTTGGGACAGAGGAGCAGGGAGCCAGTCTGGCCTGATGACACATTCTGGCCCTGGGGACCCTACACAGCTCCCTGAGTGGCCTGGCGAGCTTTGCTGTGGAGGCCGCCTGTCCTCTGAGAGTCACATACGGGGCCGTCTTCAAAGCCTCTCTTACCACCCTGGCTCCTTCGACCACCGGGACCTCCTTGCCATGTCAGCCGAGCGCGAGACCTCCCACATACGGGAAGCGGGAGACCACACCCAGACGCACATGGCGGGGGTGCCACACTGAGGCGGGGCCTTCTCCCGGGGTCTAGTGTGAGCAGCAGGGTCGGTGCGATGCCCCCACAGTCTCCTTGGCCCCACCTGGCCCTCAGACAGCTGGCCAGCTGCAGGGTGGTGTGCTCGGGCCCATCATCCCATGACATGTGCTGCATGCCACCCTGCCCTGCCCAGGCCTGGCTCTACACACGGCACCAAGAGGCTCGAACTGCTGGAAAGCCCCGTGTTCCTGGGGCCCAGTCTCTGGTGGACACACTTAGGGCCAGCCCAGCCGCCCTCCCCGCTTCAAGGCCAATGCCGTGGCCCTGGGTAGGAACCCTGCCTCTCTGTACCCCCATTCCTTGCCTGCAAATGGGGCTCAGCCTTACTGGACACACTGTTACAAGCATCTCATTGTACTGACTCAGTGAGTTTTTACGTGGGGCAAGTAAGTCCCTGGGCAGGGCTATGTCGCTGCCGGGCTTCCGAGTCTGAGCATTGCAAGTGACCGGAGTGCTGGCCTCAGAGTGAGAACTCACTGAGTGCGTGTGGGGCGCCGGGACAGTGACAGCAGGCAGCATGTGCTCATGCGGGGTGCTGTGGTGTTACCATCTGTTGAGTGGAGGGTTCCATCTGCCCAGTGCTTCCACACCTAGGGGAGCAGGGAGTTGGGCCAGGCAGGGAACCCCATTCTGTATGTGTGCGTGGGCATTTGGGGCCAGTGCCAGGCTGCCAAGGAGGGACTGCAGGCAGGGCAGAGAGTGAAGGTCCCTCCGCAGCCCCCCCTCCCCCCGTCCATTCTTGGCACAGGGTCTGGGTGAAGACTCTCATACTGGGTCCCCGACATTTAAGTTTTGGGACAGGACAGGATGCCCAGAGCCCAGGGTCTCCCAGTGCCAGCCTGGGCTGTTGAGTCTCCACCCGAGTGGGAGACAAGACTAGAGACCCCATGCCTGTGGGGATGGAGGAATAGGCCTGGGCGCTGGGCCGTGCTGCTGGGGAGCACCGAGGGAAGACGTCGATCCCCCACCGAGCCCAGGGTGCTGGGCAGCCAAGGCTAAGCGTGCTTCTCGTCCCATCCCAGGAAGCCAGAGAAGGGAGTCCAGTACCTCATCGAGCGTGGCTTCGTGCCCGACACGCCAGTGGGGGTGGCCCACTTCCTGCTGCAGCGCAAGGGCCTCAGCCGGCAGATGATTGGCGAGTTCCTGGGCAACCGGCAGAAGCAATTCAACCGCGACGTGCTCGAGTGAGTTCGGGGGGCTCTGGGCAGCAGCAAGCATGGGGCCTGGTTCCACACGCTTTCTCGTGTCCCCTGTGTTATATACACACAGGGTCAGGCGTGCCTTGTGCTGGGCCATGTGGTGAATCTCTTCTCTCTTCCTGGCTCCGAGATACACAGACACACACTCGCACCCCACACCCTGCCTGGCACACGTGTGGCACCTGCCCTCACACAGGCTGTCTCACGCGCTGACCCCACTGCCTGCCTGCCCCCTCAGACACGCGCCCTCGGCACCTTCAGCCCCCACCTGCAACATGGCCGATCCAACCCAGCACCCAGCGGTTACAGCCCTTGAGTGACCCACATTCACGCAGCTGGAAGTCTGGGGCCCCCTGCCTCTGCCGGACTTGCCCCCAGGAGAGTGGGAAGGGAGCTGGCCTGCTCACTCCACTGCCACCCTGGGTGGGCAGCCCCTACCAAGCTCTGCCCTGCCTGTTCTCCTGCTGGGAGACCAGGGGTGATAGTCCACCCCTCACCTCCTGATCCCACAGCCCAGAGAGCAGACCCTGCAGAAATGTGGGTTCCCAGCTCCCAGGCATTGCTCCCGGTTTGGCATTACCTTCCTTCCCTCCATCCCTCTTCCACAGCGTCCTGAGTAGAAAGGCAGCAAGAACAGATCCTTAGTCATCAAGCAGGTACCATGAAAAAGGCCCCATAGTGCGCTCTCCCCACAAGAGTGGGCGCTGGTGTCATTGTTAACAGATGAAGAAGCCAGAGCTAGCAGAGTGGGACACTGGCTCAGGACAGGCAGCCTGCTGGCTCTGCCTGCGGGGCCTCGGGGACTTGCCCAGGCCCTGTGTTTGAGGGTCTTCTTGACCCAGGCCAGCAGGGCAGGAGGAGAAGCCGAAGCAGGGTAAAGAGCTAAGCTCTTGGCAGCGCTGAGAGTGGTCCCTTCAGTGGCCCAGGCCCTTCCTTTCACAGGCGCCCAGGGTCAGGTCGCTGGAGCACGTGGGTGCTGTGCCCTCCTGGTTTCACAGCGAGGAAACTGAGGCTCAGGGTAAGAGGCTGGCCTGGTACGCCCCCAACACACACAGACTCACGAATGCACGTATGTACGTACTCACACCCCACACACCTAGACACGCTCAGACACACACGCGGCCAAGTGAGCCGGGACTTTGGGCTGGCTGACGTGTGGCAGGCACCAGCAGGACACTCGCGCCCTTCCTTGGCCAGATGCACAGGCCGCGCTGCGCCCTCCCTGCTTGGCGCCTCTGTTATGCTGCGCCTGGAGAAAGCGCCGTGTGGGGGTTGCCGCACGCCCTCCTCCCCTCTGTCCAGCTGGAAGGAACAGTGCGGGAAGCAGGTCAGCCCCTTGGTGGATCGGCTAGGCGCCTGCCCCCAGCCCCTGCAGCCGTTCCTGCGCTGTACAGCCCTCCACACCAGTTCGGTCCGTAGGAAATCCGGGCATTGTTGTCCGTCAGTCAGAAAATAGCAGTGGCCTCAGGAAGTGGCGAGACCCCCCAGCCCACCACCGCAGGCATGGTCAGGGCAGTGCGGGGTGCTAGGCAGCAGGTCCTCCTTTCGGGCTCCCTGCTGCCCTTTCCCCACAGGCTCTGCAGCCACCCCCAAGACCACTGCGCCAAGACGCATGAGCTCTCAGCAGGGTGGGGACAGCCCCGGTGGAGAGGTAGCCTGGGAGTGGGGGCAGGGCCCCTGGCCCAGTGGGACGGATCAGGGATAAACTCGATGCCAGAGCCTGCAGGTGGGAAATGTCTCTGTCCTCGGGGTTTCTGGCGCGGACCCCACCTCTCTGTTCAGGGTCACCGTGGGAGGGCTAGGCAGGCCGTGAGGAGACCATGGCCCATCAGACCGCCGACCAGCACCTCTCCCAGCCCTGCTCTGCAGATGAGAGTGGCATAGCCCCTCCAAGGGCCCCTGAAAAAGCACCTGCAAACCCAGCCCTCAACCCCCCTTGCCCTTGACTTGAGTGGACATTTGGTGCCCTGAGTCCCCATTTCCTCGTCATGCGAATGGGCGCAAAGCCCCGCCTCCTCGCAGAAGCAGAGAAGGCTCCACGGCCACGGCTGTGCTTGGACGTGTCTGTCGGGAAGGGCCCTGCCCCAGGACCGCTGCACGCTGGCCCCCGTGCAAAGCTGCACGCACGGACACAAGCACAGGTGTCTCCCTACGGTTTCGGGCTCCCGGGAGCCTGGGATCCTTTTGGCGCATTCTGCAGTGCTCCCAGCTGATTGGAGGCTGCCATGCAGAGCACCTTCCCTGCCAAGAGCCAGCCCGTTCCTGTGGGCTCCTGGGCTCTGGCTCACGACGCCCCATGCCGTGGGACTCAATGCTCACGTCACCCGCAGGGGCAGGCAGAGCTGGGTGTGGCGCCCCACAGGCCAAGGCCGCTTCCATGGGCCGTCCCTCTGTTGCAGCTGCGTGGTGGACGAGATGGATTTCTCTGCCATGGAGCTGGACGAGGCCCTCAGGAAGTTCCAGGCGCACATCCGAGTCCAAGGAGAGGCTCAGAAAGTGGAGCGGCTCATCGAGGCGTTCAGGTTGGGCCTGCGTGGGGGGCGGGCGGGTGGGAGTGTGCCTGGTCCCGGGGAAGAGCGTTCCCAGAGGCAAGGCCTGAGGACAGGCCAGCGGCCGGAGCCCCTCCTGCCCTCCACCTGGGTAGGGGCTGGGGTCCCTGAGTGTTGTTTTGGGGGTGTCGCAGTGGCCCGTGCTGGGCTCCTTACAGCCATAGTGGGGGTGGGGTGGAGGGGAGACAGCACTTGTTACTCTAATCTTGAAGATGAGGAAACCGTTGAAAGAGGTTAAGATCACAAGTGCTGGGATTCTGACCAGATTAGGGTTCTGAACACTGTCTTCCTCCTAGTCCTCGTCAGCCATCCATCCATTAGCGAGTTGGTCTGTCTGGTCATTCGAGTGCTCATTCTCACGGCACAGCCCGCGTCTCCCGGTGACTCAGAGCACAAGCCGTACAGCCAGATGGCCTGCCTCAGTCGCTGGCTCTACCCCTTACCAGCTGTGTGACCTTGTGCTGGCTACGTAACTTCTTTGTGCCTCACTTCCTCACCTGTGAAGTGGGGACAACAATAGCATGTGGCACCGAGAGAGAGGGATGGAAGACTCAGGGGCGAGGCTGCAGTGAGTAGCCAGGCACCTGGCACGAGGCGCATGGTCAGTGTGGCCCGTTGCTGCGCGTCCGTTCCTGGACCTCGCGCTGCGGCTGCGTGGGAGCCCCACGCAGGGTGCTGGGCGTGGGGACAGGGAGCAGCTGCTGCCCTGGCCTGTGGGTTCAGCACTGGTGTGGGGCTGGGGGGATTGAGGACGCAGAAGCAGGACAACCCCCTGGGTGGGGGCATTCGGCCTCTTCCTTCCAGGACAGCTTCCTGGAGGGGGGCACTAAGCTGCGCCCCCAGGATGGAGGAGACTGATTGCAGCCTCTGCTGGCACGTGAGCCTCAGTGGCGGTGCTCTGCCTGGTCCCTCTGCCCTGCCCCTGCCCCTCCTGACCTGCCCTCCACCCGGTTACCAGTGAACAGGGCTCCGAGGGTGGCAGGGGGAACAGTGAGTGGGATGATGCGATGAGGCGGGTGTTCTCGAGGCCGTTGTTCAGCGGTTGTGGCAGACTGCCAGCAGCCACGGCTGAGACGAGGCAGAGTACGTTTCCGTCTGTGCTGGTGTGGAGGAGACCCGGGCCCCTTCCACCTCAGGGTCCGGAGAGCAGGCCCAGCACCCACCGTGCCGTCCCCATTCCAGGTGGACGGAAGAGGGCCCCAGACCGGCAGGCGCCCGTGTCAGGTCTGCCCACATCCCATCGGCTGACTGGCTGTGCGGCCTCTCCGAGCTCCCGGCAGTTGGGAAATGCAGCCCCCCCCCCCGCCGCGTGCACAGGGAGGATCCGCTAGGAGGGGATACAGCTGAAGTAGGGGCCGTGTGGCCCATTCTGCAGATGCAGGACTGAGGCTTAGACGTCCTCAGCTGGTGGCTGGGCCCGTGCGAGCGAGGAGCAGCCGGGAGACTGCACGGTGGCCTGACCCTCCTCCCTTCCCGGCCCCAGCCAGCGGTACTGCATCTGCAACCCTGGGGTGGTGCGGCAGTTCCGGAACCCAGACACCATCTTCATCCTGGCCTTCGCTATCATCCTGCTCAACACGGACATGTACAGCCCCAACGTCAAGCCTGAGAGGAAGATGAAGCTGGAAGACTTCGTCAAGAACCTCCGAGGTGAGCCGTCCCTGGGTGCTGGCCGTCCCACAGACCCATCCAAACACCTGCCCTGGCCAGAAAGCCAGGTGTGGGGCTGGGAAGTCATGCGGCAGCCTCGTGCTGGGCGCTGGGCCCAGCGTGCCTTTGGGAACACAGCGCAGGTTGCCAGGAGAGCGCCGAGCGCGGTCGCAGAGGCGTGCCGGCCAGGCCAGGCTGCCTGGCACGTGCGTGGTCCTGGGTGTGTCTGGAGGCCTCTCCTGGGGTGTAGGTGTTGGCTGCTTTGTGAAGGATGAAACTGACTTGCCATTTTGTTTGGTTTTTTACATCAGTGTGTGTATCTAAAAGGAGAACCTCACGTCATCAGTGTAAATGGACAAATAGTGGCATTTGCCACATGTAGGAGGTGATTATAAAAGCAAGTCTGATGGACAGGGAGCAGCGGTATGGAGCTGCGGCCCCAGGGTCGCGGCTGGGCCGTGCTCGGCGCCGGGCCTGGGGAGCAGGCACGTGTGGGAGGCGCAGGCCACGGTCAGCAGCAGCCGGGCCTTCTGCTGGGCGAGAGGCAGGAAAGGAGCCGGAGAGCGCATGGCTGGCTTCGGGGGCTCTGTGCCAGCTGGGCACGGCCCTTGTGTGCCCTGAAGTCCTGGAAGGACGGAGATGAGGCACACACTGGCGGTGAAAGCCAGGGGAGATGTGAAGGAAATGGCTTGAGGCCCCTTTGGACCTCATGTTTTTTAAAAAAGAAATAAAAGCTAGTCTGAATCAAGTCCAACTTTGTAAGCTTGTTGAGCTGTTTAAGTTGTTCATTCTTCTTTATTTTTATGAAACCGTAGCTTGGTTCCCCTCCCCCAGCAGGCTGAGTCTCCCTGGGGCGTCTGCACCTCCCCTGGGGCTTCCCTGGGGCGGTGACCTGCTGGAGGGCACCGCGGGGGCAGGAGGCTCATGGAGCCCCAGATGCTTCCCCAGGCAGCAGAGAGGCCACCACGAGACCTGAGGGGGCCCCACAGCGCCTGTGGGAGATGCTGAGCAGGCCTGGGCGTGGCCTGGAGCCGTGGCGCTGCTCCCTGCACTGAGCACATGACCCTCTGCTCGGCTCAGGGGCAGTGTGGCCCGAGTGGGTCAAGTCTGTAGTTCCTGGGAGCTCATCAGTGGCCACTTGCCCCTCCAGCGGGCGGGCGGGCGATTCTGGTGGTGCAGGGGACACACTCCTAGGCTGGTGTCAAAGGGCGAGCTGGAGGCTGGTGTTAGCCCCTTCTCATCCGCCCTGGGCTTCTCCCATCCTGGGAGCCCCTCTGCCTGCTGGGCCGAGTCTTGTCCATAGGCTCCACCGGACCCGACGTGGCCGGCCCCTCTGGCCCTGTCCAGGGAGCCACTGTGTGCTGCGCGGTCGGGACGCCCTCTGCAAGACATGACGGGGCCTCCGGGGAGGAGCTGAGAGGCAGGCGTGCTGAGCCCAGCATTTGGCAGTTAGCTGCCCTCGCGGCAGTGGCTCTGTGTGCTGTGGTCTTACCACACCCTGTTGTCTCCACAGTCTGGGGACAGGGTGGCATTAACATCCCTGCTTCCCAGGGCAGGGACTGAACACCCCACTCTCGAGAAGCAAGCTGCTGGCTCTGTCTCCCTTGCCTGGGCTATTCCCTTCACATCACCTCTTTTCAAGCCAAGGACCCAGGGATGTTCTGTCTCGTTTTTCTTGTGCTTCAGAAGGGGTGACAAGGCTTGGGGAAGGGACTTGCCCAGGGTCACATAGCAAGTGAGCGGCAAAGGCAGGACGCATGCACGGCCAGCCTGTTCTTTGCAGAGGGAGATGCGCACCCCACGCCAAGGCCTGTCTGCCCTGGAGCTGCTCGCTCGGTGTGGCTGGTGGCCCCTCGGCAGGAGAGCCCCTGGGGTTTGAGGATGGGTGCGGGAGGAGTAGCTCACCAGCATGGAAGCCAGATGGAGTATTTCCCTTTTATTAAAGTTTATTTTTAAATTTTAAAATTTGTTTTTTGTTGTTTTTTGGGTTTTTTTTGAGATGGAGTCTCGCTTTGTTGCCCAGGCTAGAGTGAGTGCCGTGGCGTCAGCCTAGCTCACAGCAACCTCAAACTCCTGGGCTCAAGCGATCCTGCTGCCTCAGCCTCCGGAATAGCTGGGACTACAGGATGCACCACCATGCCCGGCTGATTTTTTCTATATATATTAGTTAGCCAATTAATTTCTTTCTATTTATAGTAGAGACGGAGTCTCACTCTTGCTCAGGCTGGTTTCAAACTCCTGACCTCGAGCAATCTGCCCGCCTCGGCCTCCTGGAGTGCTGGGATTACAGGCGTGAGCCACTGCGCCCGGCCGAAAATTTATTTTTTGAATGGGTATTATCTTCACATAGTTGGAAAACCAAAATAATATAATCCAGCAATTGCCTTCTTTGGTGTTTAGCCAAATGAACTGGAAACTTCGGCCCACACAAAAGCCTACACATGGACATTTATAGCAGCCTCATCTGTGACTGTCAAAACTCAAGAACAAGGCCGGGCGCGGTGGCTCACGCCTGTAATCCTAGCACTTTGGGAGGCCGAGGCGGGCGGATCGCTCAAGGTCAGGAGTTCGAAACCAGCCTGAGCGAGACCCCGTCTCTACCAAAAATAGAAAGAAATTAATTGACCAACTAAAAATATATATACAAAAAAAAAAATTAGCCGGGCATGGTGGCGCATGCCTGTAGTCCCAGCTACTCGGGAGGCTGAGGCAGCAGGATCGCTTGAGCCCAGGAGTTTGAGGTTGCTGTGAGCTAGGCTGACGCCACGGCACTCACTCTAGCCTGGGCAACAAAGTGAGACTCTGTCTCAAAAAAAAAAAAAAAAAAAAAAAAACTCAAGAACAGCCAGGATGCCCTTCGTCAGGAGGATGGAAGCAGGGCTGTGGTGCCCCAGGCAACGGAACACTGCTCAGTGCTGGGAAGAAATGAGCTGTCAACCATGACACAAAGTGAAACAAACCAATGTGAAAAGGCTGCAAACTGTTTGATTCCAACTATAAGGCACTCTGTAAAAGGCAAACTAGGGAGACAGTAAAAAGATGAGGGGTTAGAGGGAGGGAGGGATGAAGAGACAGAGCCCAGAGGCTTTTTAAGCCAGTGCCACTATGCTGTGTGAAGCCGTGACACGTGGACACGTCGTCCTGCTTTGTCCAGACCTGTGGAATGGCCACCACCAGGAGTGAACCTTCATGCAAGTTACGTGTGCTGGGTAATGATGCGTGCCCGAGCAGGTTTGGGATTCGAGCAAATGGATCACTCTGGGGGGTGTCGGTAGGGAGACTGCGTGTGTAGGCACAGGAGCTATATGGGGGTCTCTGTACCTTTTGTTCAGTTTTGTTGTGGACCTAAAACTGTTCTAAAAATGAAGTCTATTTAAACAAAATAACAAACAGAAAGCACTAGAAGTCCATAGCAGGGTTCCCCTCCCGCCAGCCCCTGCCTGACCCGGTCACACCCTGTGCCTCTGGAGGTCTTCAGCATTGGGTTCCTGATGGACCTGCTAGTTCCTCTACTCAAGCAGGTACAAATGTGCATGGATGGTTTTAAGTTCTACTTTGCACCTTGCTCTTCCCGTTTAACAAATCTAAGGGAAAGTTTCCATATCCAGGCATAGCGACTAGCTTGTTGTTCTGATGTATGATGATTGGTTAACAGTCCCCTGTTAATGGATACACAGGTTACTTCTAGCCTTTTGCAGTTGGATAGCAACACTGCAATAAATTGCCTCATCTGTGTCTCGTTTCCCACGGGATAAGTTCCTCGAATGCAGGCAGTGGACCAGAGCTGTCAGGATTTGCCGTTAGGATGCAAGCTGCCAAACTGCCCCCGGGCTGGCCACTCCCTCTTGCGGGCCGGTCGGAGGGGCGAGGGTTGGCCGCGCCCCTGTCTCAGAGGCGCTCAGTGTGGTGTGGAAGAAAGGGCCTACGCCTGTGGTCGGAGCAGCCCCGGTCAGAGCCCGGCCCAGCTGGTGTCGGGTGCAGCAGCCACCACTGGTGCCAACACCGCCCAGGTGCTCTGAGCTGGCCACGCCGCGGCTTCCCTCGCTCCCTCACGACCTGTTTCACGGAAGAGAACTCCGAGTTGGGAGAGACACGATCGCTCACCCACAGCCACACAGCCAGTAAGGAATAAAATTAGGACTTGGTTCCGGATCTTTCAGAGCCCAACCTCACAAACCACAGCCTCTCCACACCCAGCCTCAATTCTCCCATCTGTGGAATGGGATGACTTCCCCACTTCCCAGGGCTGTGAAACCTCTGAACACGGCTTAGCAGATGGGTCAGCACCCCTCTGTACCATGCTGGCCCAGGTCGGGTGTGCCAGGCCCTGTTTCTGGTGGGAGGACTCTGAGGAAACGTGAAATTGAAATGTTCTATAGCTGTGCATCTGGAAGATCTTTGATTCTGCTGAGGACAGGCAAAAGGTTCGCTCTTCTGATTTGCTTTAGAAACTGGTAAATCAAGGGTGAACCTGGGGCACAAGGTGGAACAAAGCCACTGCCACCCAAGCTCCAGCCTACCCTGATATCTCGCCACCGTCCCCTGCCTAGGTGTGGACGATGGTGAGGACATTCCCCGGGAGATGCTGATCGGGATCTATGAACGGATCCGCAAGCGAGAGCTGAAGACCAATGAGGACCACGTGTCCCAGGTGCAGAAGGTGGAGAAACTCATTGTGGGGAAGAAGCCGGTAAGTGGTGGGCCCTGGCATCACCTGGGGACTGCCACAGGGGCACGAGGTCAGCACAGGGCTTCTGTGAGGCCTTCGCACCCTGACCCACCCTCTTAGTATGACACCGGGTCAACTCCACAGCACCAGCCAGTGGCCCTGGTGCCATTGGAACAAGGCCCCTTCTAGGCAGGGCTGGTGAATCACAGTCATGATCACATTCCTCACAGGGCTTGGGAATAACAGCCATTTGCCCTGGGCTGTGTTTGAAGAAACCTAAGGCTCTTACTAGACCAGTGGGGCCAGAATTGTACTCTGGGCCCCAATGCTGGTGGGCTTTTTTTGGTCGCCTAAGAATCCCGCCAGAACTCCCTCAGAGAGTTTTGCCGGTGAGAGCGGGCCCCCTCACGTCCTGGCTGGGTGGAGTATATAGGAGGGAGGGCACTTGCTGCTTTAAGACTCAGAGTCACCCCCTTACCTTCCAGGAGGGGCCGAGGTGTGTCTTTTGGAACATTAATGTCCTTTGTTTCTTTAATGTTTTCCTGTAGATCGGATCTCTCCATCATGGCCTTGGCTGTGTGAGTATTTCTTTGCTTCCAGCGGAGAGCCCCCCGCCCTGGGGGGGCCAGCCGTCCTCAGCCACTCCCGGGGTCCCTAGGCTCCCAGAGCCAGAGTTCTGGTTGCTTGAGTTCATTTCGGGAGCACCAAGGAATCTGATGTTCATGATTACCCCAGCCTTAACCTCATAGCCACATGGGAAGGCTGTACTGTCAGGCTGAGATGGGCAGACCCTGCTTTCTCTTGCCCGGGCCCTGCTGCACCCAGGCGCCAAGACTCCACCTGAAACATGTGGCATCGCTGCCCTGCTACTGCCCCACACTGCTCCGTGCACACTCCATGCACCCCAGCTTGCTCCTGTTTCTCACACTCTGTGCCCAGGCTCTCCCAGCTCCTGCCCCCTCATCTCCAGGACCTGCCGCTGCCACTGCCTGGTCACCTGCATGGCCCAGAGTGCGCACAGCTGGCTTCAGCTGCACAGCTGCCCTCAAGGCTCTGGCCTCATCCCTCGGCTCCACAAACCGCTCTGCCACCGTCCCCTTTGCCAGCTTCCCCAAGTGAGAGCCCAGGCCCACCCTGGCACCACATCCCCCGTCATCCCACCCTCTCCCCTCTTGCTTTTGCTCCCTAAAAATGTCAGGCTGGGCGGTGCTCTCCCCCCTCGTCTCGTCCCCAGCGCTCTGAGCGTAAGCAGCCCTCACCAGAGCACCTGGGCACAGGCGCCCCTGCCCCACCCCACCCCGTGCCCTGAGGGTCTTGCTCCTGGTCTCTTCTTCCTGAGCCCAGGTGCTCCCAGACCTGGGCCTGAACCCCGACAGTGGCTTGTCCCCTTGGCCCTGAGACGCCATCCACCTTGTGTTAGGCTTTGAGGGCAGCTTAATCTATAGCAAGTGGGGGTGCTGCGCCCCGTGGTGGGCAAGTGCAGGGCAGGTCCCACAGAGCATTGGCAGCTGGCTCCGGATCTTAGACAGGGCCTTCCAGGCACCAGGGCCCTTGGACTCTTTAAAGGGCAGGCCTGGTAGAGAGAAAATCCTGGGGCCTGGCAGGGCCCAGACCCTGGTTCTGCAGCTTCCTGGTTCTGACAAGTAGTGTCTACACCTTCCTGCCTCTTCCAGAGCAGACTGTCCGCTCAGACTTTGTGTGGACCAGTGGGCTTATGTGTGTGATTGGCACGTGTGGCGGCCCAGAAAACGTGACTTTCCTCTCTGGCGAGGGCTTCCCTCGTGAGCATGATTTTTTTTATTTTTTTGAGCATGATGTTTTAAGAATCAAAAGGAGTCTCAGCAGAAGCAAGGGCTTCCTATAGTCCTTCAGGAGGGCAGAGATAAGAGCTCTTAAATAGCCATGCCTGAGGACAGATTGGGGAAAATTGCTATGAGCCAAGAGACGCTGCTTTGCGGTGCTTGTGGGAGAAGGCGCTTTTGCACCCGAGCCCGTGGCTGGGTTTCTAGCCTGAAGGGCTGCTCTTCACTGCCATGGCTGGGGCAGGGCTGGGCAGCCACAGCAGGACAGCCTCTGTCCACACAGGTGCTCTCTCTGCCCCATCGTCGGCTGGTCTGCTACTGCCGGCTCTTCGAGGTTCCAGACCCAAACAAGCCGCAGAAGCTCGGACTGCACCAGCGAGAAATCTTCCTGTTCAACGACCTCCTGGTGGTACGTGGCTCACCCAGGGCATCGAGGCGGGTGCCTCAGTGTGGGGAGCCTGGGATTTCCATCCGGCCGTGTGTTTGCGTGTGGTGAAACGTGCACACACATGAGGCTGGGGAAGGGATTCACCTGGAATCTTGGTTACAAGGGACAGAATCTAGTTCAAACAGACACACATGCACACAAGATTTCGTTGGCTTGTGTAAAAGTCCAGAGAGAGGTTTTGGCTTCAGCCCCAGCTGTTTGCAGAGCCTCCAGCAGGTCAGCAGGACTCCTTCCTGTCATCTGCACCCCTGCGCTGGGCAGGCTCTTCCTCTGTGTGGCCCCACTGCAGGCGAGAAGAGAACGACAGCCCAGCAGCTCCAGCCTGACCCTCCCTATTCAGCAACCAGTAGAATCCTCTTCCTAGACTGAGAGCCAAAGGTCTCAGGCTACTCCTGGTTGCTGCACACACCTCTCCCCCCGGCAAGTCACTGTGGCCAGGCAGGTGCAGTGCTTTCTGGGTGGCCAGGCCTGGGCCCCTCCCCTGGGTCTGGGAAAGAGCCCAGTCCCCAGGACTGACAGACTGAAGAAGGTGGCATGGGTGCTAGCCAGGTGGGATACAAGTGCCCACTGCAGACAGAAGGGAGAACTGTCAGTGGGTTCCTGTCACTCCCGCATGTCACAGGCTTTTCTTGCCAGAGGCCCGTGTCCCCGTTCCCCACAGGCCTGATCAGCTACTCATCTCTGACCGCTGAGGCTGAAATTTGGACATTGGGTTCACACCCTTTATTGAGAACCCTTGCCCTCGAGCTAGTCACCTCACATCTATGAATCTGTCTCCTCCTCTGTAAGATGAGCCTCTCGGAGGGCTGCAGTGGTCCAGCGAGACCCGGACAGACCCGCACGTGGCGCTGGCGAGCACTGGGCACAGGAGAGATGGGAGCTCCTCTTTCCCCTCCTGCCCAGCCTTCTCCTGCCAGGCTGGAAAGTTCCTTCCCTTGCCTGCCAACCAGGGTAGCAGCCAAGGACCATGGCAGGGGTCCTGGTGTGGCAAGGGATCCCGTCACTACCCCAGGGTGGGCTCACTTCAGTGCAGCCCGCAGTCCTGGCGTCATGCTCTGGTTGTTCCCAAGAGAAGAAGCCATGCATCCTCCTAAGTCAGTGCTGCTGAGCACTGCCGCCCACTCCTGCCCTCCAGGGTCCCAAGCCCCAGGTGTGTGCACCTCACCTGGCTGTGAGAAGACACCTGCAGGGCTATGTGCAGTGATATGCCTGCCACCTCTTGGCCGGCTGGTGGGGCTTTGTTGCTAGCGAGGATGGCATCAGGGCTCACAGGGACAGGAACCAGAGTCCAGGTCATACCTTCGGCTCTTGAGTGGCTTGTCCCTGCATCCGGCCTCCTGAGCCCAAACTCCTGGAAGGGTCCTTGGGCTGGAGATCACATGTAGTCACTGCCCAGTGCTGCAGCTCAGAGCTGTCTCTGGTTGTCCCAGGTCACCAAGATCTTCCAGAAGAAGAAGAACTCAGTGACGTACAGCTTCCGGCAGTCCTTCTCCTTGTGCGGCATGCAGGTCCTGCTCTTTGAGAACCAGTGTAAGTCTGCCCGGGCCTGCCTGCAGGAGTGCGCTCCGTCCTGCCGGCCGGGCCAGCAGCAGCTCACTCCCATGTGACCACAGGGAGCAGCCTAAGGGCGCCTGCAGGAGAGGGAATTGAGTCACGTTGTGCTGGCGCCCGCTGAGTTCACTCCTGCTGTTACCTCAGCTTCTTGAAAGTGATGAGACTTTTTAACTTATGGCAGAAATGAATTTATTTAAGTCAAACTTGGTTGTAAACCACTACTATTACATGTGCAGATGTGGCCCAAAGACAGGTAGAGGCAATCCCCGAGGGACTGAGGAAGCCCAGAGCCAAGCCGGCTGCCTGGATCAGACTGGCTCCAGTGCCGCCTACATGTGTCCCGCTCCTGCAGCCTCTCTGGCCTCTGGCTCCTGGTCTGTAAAGCGGGGGTGACAGTAGTGCCTGCTTCGTGGAATTGCCCCACAGAGGGCGGGAGTGCTTCCGAGCGAGTGCCCAGCGGCGTCAGGTGCTGCTGGGAGACCTGCTTGGGGCGTGGGGCCGTCGGCTGTTCGCGAGGCCAGAGAGCCGGGGAGTCTGGGGGAAGCTGGCTCGCACCTGCAATACCCCCACTGGCCTTTTCTTGTGACCTTCCTCCTTCTACCCACCCCTTCTCTTTGCCCCTCCTCTGTCCCTTCCCTGTTGGAGGTCTCTGTGCCACAGGCTGAGCCAGTCCTGGGATGGAGGTGGGGGCCTGTGGCCTTGCACGCTCTGGAGAGGCCTAGGGGTGGTGCTGACACGGAGTGTCCATGTCTTGAGCGGCAGGGGTCTCCCATCCTCTTGGGAGAGGCTGCCAACATCCGTGTGACCAGCTTTCCATCTGCTAAAAAGCGCCAGGAACCTACAGCCGGACCACCCAAAACACGGGCCCGAGGCCCTGGGCCTGGTGCTCTCTGCTGTGTTCCCTGTCCCCACTGGGACCGAGGAGCCACCCGCAGCAGCAGCCGCCCCTCCATGTGTGCCCTTGTCCTCACACGCCCATGAGGAGCCCGGGCTGCCTGCCCCGGCCATCGCCCCACTTCCAGCCCTGTCCACCCACCCATAATCATCCAAGGCGATGGGTTAAGATGCCTGGCTGGGCTCAGAACACCTCCTCGGGCCTAGTCTGGGACTCGGCACCTGGCAGAGTGGCCAACGGGCTCGCAGGAAAGGGCTCCGTGACCTTCAGGTGGGGAGGAGGAGGGCCCTGGGGCCTTCCTCTCGGGCCTCTCACTGTTCTCTTGGCCAGGGAGGAGGCTGCAGGGAGCACCCTGAGACCTGTGCACCTCACTCTTCCCTTTGCAGACTACCCCAACGGCATCCGGCTCACATCCGCTGTCCCCGGCGCAGACATCAAAGTGTTAATAAACTTCAATGCCCCCAACCCTCAAGACCGGAAGAAATTCACCGATGACCTGCGGGAGTCCATCGCAGAAGTGCAGGAGATGGAGAAGCACAGGATAGAGTGTGAGTGCCAGGGCTCCCTGGCACGGGCTTGCCTCCCCTCTCCTGGCAGTGACAGTGGTCCAAGGCTGATGCCAGTGGCTCCTGAGCCCCCAGAGACATGATGTCCCCCAGTCTTCTCAGGCACTCCCCATGACCACGTGCCGGGGCTGCCTGCATGCCCAGGCCACAGGAGGCACAGGTAGGGCAGGTCGGAGTGGGAAGCCATGGCTGATAAGAGCCAGGGCTTCAGGGGCCCAGCCCTGTCCTGCCGGTCAGAGCACATTGCGTGTCCTGGGGTGCCCCCACCTAGTTTCCTGGCCATCCCAGGGACAGGAGCTTCCAGAGCTCTGGAGCTTGAGCACCTTGCACTTCAGCATGACTATTGGTCGCCTTCTGAATCAGGCGTAAGCAACTGATGGTGTCACAGCCAAAGCCGTGCCCTGGCTCCAGGTCTACTCCCTGGAGGCATGTGGGTATCCCCACCTCTGCACCCACGGTGGAAGGGCCTGGCTGACCCTTGCTCATCTCCCAGACCCAGGCAGGTCTTTGCCTCCCTGCCCAGCCCTGAGCCTGGGAGGTGACTGTCTCTCCTGCATATCACAGGCCCCTCCAGCTTCCCCACTGGGTTCTCCTTTCTGCTCCCTTTGTCCAGGGCAGCCGTCACAGCCACTCTTTCCCCAAAAGTACCCCTCCCCCATTCCAGGAAGATGGTGGCCTGGGCAGTGCTGGCCCTAAGCAGAAGGCTGCGCGGTCCCCGTCTCCCACCGCTCTAGGCTATGCCCCCCTCACCAGGCCCCTCACCCTCTCTGTTCCAGCGGAGCTCGAGAAGCAGAAGGGTGTCGTGAGGCCCAGCATGTCCCAGTGCTCCAGCCTCAAAAAGGAGCCGGGCAACGGGACGCTGAGCCGGGCCTGCCTGGACGACAGCTACGCAGGCGAGGGCCTCAAGCGCAGCGCCCTCAGCAGCTCCCTGAGGGACCTCTCGGAAGCGGGTAAGATGCGGCCTGGGGCGCCTTCCTAGCCCGCTGCATGCAGGGCCGGGTAGGGCGGCGCAGCCGGGCTGCGCTGCGGGCGGGAAGGGCCTGCGTGGGGCCGCCGCGCCAGGGCCGCACAGACGCTGCGCGGAGGGGCCGTCCCCAAACCACAGCGTGTGGCAGCACAGGAAGGGCCCCCCACAGGCAGAGGGGACAGGACCGAGCTGTCGTCGAGGAGGAGGCACCCTACGCAAAGCAGCCAGGGAGGTCGCCTCCACTTTCCCTTTCTTGCGAGGGTTTTGTTTATTTGTTTGTTTATTTTCTGGAAGTCACTCGAACATGGAGCAAGCGCGCGGTGTGTCCCGTGTTCTGTGTGCTGCCGCGTCCCTGTGTTTTATGCTGATGAATGAAATGGAGTGAAGCCCTCTAACTGTCGGGAGCCCCTTCCCGCGACTGGCCTTGCTGTCTCCGCAGGGCCTCCCTCCGGCCCCAGGGCTGTCGGGGAAAGGCCCGTGGGCACTGGGGGCCTCGTGTCTGTTTCTGTGTGTGTTGGATTTGCTGGCCGCCCGGCCTCCGGGTCTCCAGGGTGGGCGCCTCATCTGGCGGAGCTTCTCCCGCAGCCTCCGGCGGGCTGCCCGCCCGCGCCAGTGCTGCTGCACCCCGCTTGGCCTGCCGGCGCTGCCTGGGGCCCAGCCCTGTCCCGCAGCTGGGCCGGCGCTCCAGGCTCCGGACTGAGAGCTCTGCCCACCCCAGGAGCCTGACATGCTTGTCAGTTGGAAAGACCCCGAAGCCAGGGATGGGCCCCGTCCTCAAGAGGCTGGCGGCTCCTCCGCCCTGCCCACACTGCTGCAGGCGCCGCCTGCCCAGGACTCCCACCCGGTGCCTGCCCGCCAGTAGCACTGCTCCTCGGCTCACTCAGTTCTGAGATCCTTTTTATTCTTTTTCTTTTTTAGTTGGATCTTCCCCTTTGCTTTTGTTTTGTCATTTTTTTTTCCATAGTAAAAAAAAATCAGAAATCCATTGCCAGTCTCCAGCATGGGGGTTTAACAGCCAGGGCTTCTCAACCTCGGCATACTGCGTTGGGCCAAGTGAGCCCTTGCTGTGGGGCTGTCCTGGGCACAGCAGGAGGGCTGGCAGCTTCCCTGGCCTCTGCCACTGGATGCCAGTCATCCCTCCCCAGAATGGACAGTCGTCCATGGCTCTAGAAATTGCAAGGTGTCCCCTGGGGGGCAAGATCAGCCCTGGTTGAGAACCACTGGTTTTCCCAGTGGCCTTGTGAAATGCAGCTAACGTCACTCGACTGCTTTGGGCCTCTGCAGGGCGAGGCTCTGTTTGCGTTTGTGCAGTGTGGCAGGCCCTGCCCTGTCCCTTCCCTGGTGAAGCCCCTGGAGGGCTGGGACCTTGTCCAGCCCCTCTCAGGTAGCAGTGGCTCTGTTGGAACTGAGGCCCTCCTAGTCGGGCTTAGCAGTTGGCTACCCACTCTCTGCCAGAGCTTAGGGTCAGACAGAGCCACGTGGCCACGCCCACATCCACGTGAGGGGCGGAGCTTCAGGGCTGGCTGGCTGTGTGGGTGTTAATATTGCCATTGTTCCTTGGGGATTCCCAGCTAAGGAAGACTCTAGTGATTGAGTCCTCTCTGGGCCTGCAATTAAAAAAAAAAAAAGACCCAGGAACAGCTCCCAGAGGGCCCCTGTGCCAGGGTGATGTGAGGTGGGTGTTCAAGTCCAGGTGAGACACACGAGAGCTGGCACCCTCCTGGGAGGTGGTGGGCTGGGCACTGGGAGAAGCAGGGCTCCGAGTTCTGGACTGAGCAGGGCAGCGCGACGCCCACCCACTCGCCACGGGCCTCGCGCTGAGACTGAGCCTGCGACCCCGAGACACCGTGTCGAGAGGAAGCAGGCTGTCGGGGCTTCTCCCCAGTGGTCAGCAAGTCATCGCCCCTGCGCCAGCGGGCCCTGCGGGCAGCTGCCCAGATCTGCAACTGCACATCCACGCGGGAGAGCACACGCCACGGACACGGCCCCAGCCCGTGGAGACCCGCGATGTGGCCGTGGCTGGGGCCCTGGAGGAAGCCCATCCACAGACACCCCCGGGAGCCTCTGACATTCCGAGAGTTTGAGGAAGGGGGCTGGGCTCGGGCCCAGCTGCAGTGCGTCACCTGGTGTCTCTCGGCCACAGTCTTCCTTCAGCCGAGACTCCCATCCAGTGCCCATTCCAGCGGCTCAGGAGCCCTGCCGGCCTGAGAGCAAGGACTAAGGAAACAGGATGACCAGGCCTTAGTGCCTGCCCCCAGATCAGGCAGGTCACGGTGGACGCGTCCAGAGGCCTCTAGTGTCCTTCCTGTCCCTTCACGGCCAGGCTGGCCAGCACCGAGTCCCCATGGAGAGGACCAGGACCTGCCTACAGCAGTCACCCCTCAAGGAGACGCCTCTGACCTCCGACGTCCTGCTCCAGAGCAGCCCCATCTGTGAGGGTGGCGGCAGTGACAGGCTGGTGGTGGGTGGACGGAGCAGCCCCTGCTGCCGCGTGTAAGCAGCCTGGGCCCAGAAGGGCTGTGCTTGCTGTTGGGCCGGCCACATCACTCCCCAGCTGTGCCAAGTCCCACAGAGCTTGCAGTGCAGCGTCCTGACTCCTGTTGGACTGCATGAGCTCACTCCCCACTCTGCCTGCTCTCTGGCTGTCAGACTCTGGCACGTTACACCCATGGGCCTCAGTTTCCCCAGCTGCTGTGAGAAACAGTCAATGCCAGCATTCCTGGCTCAAACAGCCGACAGTGTGCGAAGCCGTCATTTCCATCATGGTCACCAAGCCAGGTCACCTGCCTGGCCTCCAGTGTTGCTGCGGGTCAAGGGACGAGGACCCTGGCTGGGGAGGAGAGCCCTGCCACGTGGCATCCTGTCATGACTCTGAGGAAGCAGCAATGGCTGTGAAGGACCATGCTGGGAGCCCTTCCAGAAAAATGGCTCCAGATGCCTCCAGGCAGCGCGTCACCAGGGTTGGCGAGGGCTGGGCTGGCACGAGGAGGGTGCTGACTGGGCCGGGGCTCACTCGAGGCCAGTGCAGGACTGGGGGCTGAAAACAGAACAAAAGGGGCGAGGGTGGGCACAGGTGGGGCCGTGTGGCTGCATGTGCGTGCACACGTGTGGCATAAGCCACTATTCTGGCATGTCCCTGTCAGCCCGTGTTTGAACAAGGGCTAGAGACTGCGTGTACACGTATGCGCAGGACATCTGCACGGGTCTGCCGTGGGCACGTGCTTGTAAGTGTGCCTGTGAGCACCAGGCTCTGCGACTCAGGGCAGAGAGAGACCCTGGGGTCGGCCTGCATCCCCTGCTGATCTGAGACGTTAAGAAGATGGATTTTAAGACACTCGGCATCACTCCAAGACAGCCAAGTCAAAGGACTCCTGCGTGTCAGTCCAAATTGGACAGAAGGAAGAGGGCTTTGTTCAACTCCAGGTGGGGGACACCATGTGGATGGCCACCCCCACAGCTGCAGGACACTGGCAGGGCAGGCCCTCTTCCTCTGCCCCTGGTTTTCAGTCAGTCGGTGGGATGCCCAGGCCTTAGAGGGGCCAAGCAGCTAATTTTAAAACCCCGAAGATGGCACCTGGCTCTCAGCATTCCCACATGGTGCCACAGTGTCCTGAGTGTCTGATGGCCATGGCCACAGTCCGTTTTGCAGATGCGGAAACTGAGGTAAAGAGGCTAAGCAGTGCCAGGCAGCCCACAGCCCAGCCAAAGAGCTCCTTCTGGGAGTCTGCTCTAACTCTGCTCCACATCCCTGGATCACAGGAAGGGAACGAAGGTCGGCCTCTCTCCTTGCACAGGAGGAAATGTGCCCCTTCTCTTGCCCCTGATTTGTGGTACGGCCCTGTCCCAAGAGCGACCTGAGGGTCATTTCACACAAGCCAGAGCCAAGCAAGGCCTTCTGCTGACCCAGACTCCCACCTGGACCTCAGGTGTGGGGGTGGCAGGCAGTGCAAAGTGGCTGGGCTCCCCGAGTCAGCATCTGTGCCCAGGACAGAAGCTGCATCCCAGGCACAGCCCAGCATGCTCAGATGACCACTGAGGCCCAAACCTACAGACACTGTCCTCACCCCCTGCTTGGCTGGCGGCCCTGCTCTGGTTTGAGGGGCAGCAGCTTTCACTCCAGAAGCTGTTCCGGCAGGCAGCACGGACCACGCGCGCGTTCTCTTCCTTCCTCCAGGGTCCTGGCCCGAGCCTGGCCCTGGGTGCAGCTCAGAAAGCAGCGTGGCCAAGTCGTCCAGCCCTAGAAGTGGGCAGGCAGGTCTAAGTGCGAAGCCCACTCTGCATGGGAATCAGGCCTCGGTGTCCTCTCTGTCATGGACACAGTGATGCCTGTAGGACTGACGTGTCCAGCATGGTGCTCAACTCAGCCAATGCTGCACAGGTGGAAGCTTAGAGAAAGTCAAGGCCAGTCTCTGTCCCTCTTCCCATCCTCACTCCCAGGGGCTGGCCAGAGCAGGCCCCTAAGGCTGGGCACACGTGCGTCCGGCCGTGTCCTGCAGAAAACCATGGATGAGTCTCCGAAGGGAATGTGGAGGCTAAGCTGGACCCTGGACATCGGAGCCAAGAGCAAGTCTTGACCTTGTTTTGAAAGAGCCAGCAGATATTGAGTGCTTGCTGTGTACCTTGCCCCAGGGACACAAGGAAGAGACCTCCTGCCTTAGGGAATGCTTTGTGGCCTCCTGGGTGGGTAGTGCCAGCAGAGAGGCCCTGGGCTGGGAGGAATTTTGCCCTTTGGACCCCAACCCTGTCTCCTGCCCTTGCCAGGGCACTGCACAAACCAAAATTCAGCCCCCAGAGGCACCCAGGAGGAAAAGGGGACATGAAGTTTAGTTTTGTCTTAACCATCAGTCCTGCCCTGCCAATGAAAGCAGGGGGAATATATATATGTGTGTATACATATATACATATATATATGGAATCCACTGGAAGACAGGGCCGCTGAGGACCAAGCACGCTGTGTGTGTTTGTGGCTGCTGCAGAGGCTGCCCTCGCCCCTTCTCCTGTTCTCCCGAGTTGGGGTGAACAGGCTGGAGCTGGAGGCGTCCGGCCCACCTGTACACACGCCCCAGCTCCGAGGCCCCTCCCACAGACTGCCGGTTCAGGAGAAGGCATATGAAGTTGGGCTGGTTTAAATTTTTGTTTATTTACTTATTTTTTGCTTTTTGAAAACTCCATTTTTTTAAATTCATTCCTGCACCGTTGCCGGCTTCCCCACCAAGCCCCTGCTCCGACCCCTCTCACCTGGCTGCTGCCGGCAGGTGGGCCTGGCACTCGCGCCTGTCCCCACAGCGGCACAGGCTTCGCGGCAGTGGCGGCGGCGGCAGCGCAGCGCCAGGCAGGCAGCGCCCCAGGCCTCGTGTCCGTGTCTAACCTCTGGTATTGCATGTTCTGGGCAGGGAAGCGAGGGCGTCGCAGCAGTGCGGGATCGCTAGAGAGCAATGTGGAAGTAAGTAGGAAGCACCTCCGCCCGCTGGCTGTCGTGTGTCGCCCCCGTCCTTGGTTTACACCTCTTGTCTTTTTTTTGCTCGTCCTTCCCCTACCGCACAGAGACGCAGACGCGCCCTCCCTGCCTGCCTGCCTCAGACCCGTGCATGCCAGCTTCTCCTCCGTGCCTAGAGCACCCATGCCTCTCGCCGCTTGTTTTGGGCTGAACAGTGGGGGGCGGTTATGGATTGTGTGTTTTAGTTTCAGCTTAACTCCTGTCCCCGGTGGTCTCTGAGCATGGTTAACCGTCCCCGCCTTTCTGGCATCCCCACCCCGGGTCCCTGCCCGGGCCACCCCTGCTCCCAGGCGGGCAGGCACCGGCCACCACGCGCCCACTCAGCCTTCACTCTTGCTGTTGGATGTCTGTGCCCCACTCCTGCCTTCTGTGCTCCGCCATCGCCATCGCTTCCTCCCTGGAGTGCCGACTGCAGTGAGGACACCGTGGAGTTGCTTAGATTGGGAGGAGGAGCATCTTGAGAGGAGGAAAATTCCAGTGTGGATTTCATGAGATTTCATTCATCCTCTGGCCATCTCTATATTAGTGTTCACATCTGAACCTCAGCTTGCAGATCTTTTTCTGTTTCCTTCTTTTCCCTTGTTTGGTTTGCAGTAGGTAGCGCAGTGAAACACCTAGGCAGCCCACACCCCCAGAGGACAGGGTTTCTGAGTCCCACCTGTCCCCGTCACCACCTCCCCAGAAACTTGGGGACCACATGGGCAGAGCACATGCCCTCGGTCCCGCTTCGAGGTCCCAGGGGAGCTCAGGGCAGGAGTTCAGCAGGAACCAGGTTCTGGCCCTGCGCCACTCACCACACTCGGCCCACAGACGCCCACCCTGTCGCTCTCTGAACCTCAGGCAGGGCGCCAGGCTCAAAGCGTTTGTCAGACGAGGGCGAAAGCCACACTGCCGGGGCGGGGCGGTTGAACAGAAAGGCGGCCCCTCCCCTGCCCTCACCCCACTTCCGCCAGGGCCAGTCGCCCCCAGCTGTGCCGACTGCCTGTGAGAGGAGGGGGCCCAGTCCAGCCGCCTCCAGCCCCGCCCTCTGGCCAGCAAGTTGAGCTAAGCCTTAGCAGTCAGTGGGTGAAGTTTTACCTTTAAAAAAAGATCATTCTGACATAAGTGCTTTAAGATCTTTTAATTTTGATTTCTATGAATTTCCTTTTTAGGGGTCCATCATTAGCAGTCCTCACATGCGCCGGAGAGCTACATCAACACGAGAGTGTCCATCTCGCCCACACCAGACTATGCCTAATTCATCCTCCCTCCTGGGCTCCTTATTTGGGAGTAGAAGAGGGAAGCCCCCTCCCCAGGCCCACCCACCCTCAGCTCCTCCCCCGCCACCCCCCCACCCGCCAGGCCTGCCCCACCTGCAGCACTCCTCGGGCGGCCACCACCTGGGGCCAGCAGAGGGCCCGCCGCAGGCCCAGGTGCATGGGCATCACACCCAGTACTGCCACGTGCCGCAGAACCCACCGCCCTACCACCACCACCACCACTACCACCCACCCCAGCACATCCAGCATGCACACCAGTACCACCACGGCCCCCACGGGGGGCACCCAGCCTACGGGGCCCACGTTCACGGCCACCCACCGCTGCCCTCCGCCCACGCAGGGCATGCAGTGCACCACCACGGGCAGCCACCTGCCCCGCCGCCCCCCACCAGCAGCAAGGCCAAACCCAGCGGCATCAGCACAATTGTGTAGACAGCCTGGATGGGGGCTCCCAGGCCCCCGAAACAGTTGCACACATACAGGGCATGCCCGGGGCCACCAGCCTCACACCAAACCCAGGGCGCTCGCATTGCCATCTGTCCCTCTGCCCCTCGCAGCCTGGACGGAACCCTGTGAGCCCACAGGGCGCGTGTTCTGTGGAACAGAGCTCCAGATTTCACTTAGCACTGGCACCCTGGGCTCCGGTCACCTCTGTCCCAGGGGGGGTGGGCCTCAGCCACATCAGCCTTGAGATGGCGCCACCGGCCAAGTACATGTTGAACTGCATCCCCCACCCCAGCCCCCAGCTCTCTACTCCCTAACTTATACACAGATGAAAACCCAGCCTAGGAGAAGAAAGGAGATACAAAAATAACAGACAAAACAACCCCCCAAAACTTGCTGCATTATTGCTCTTTTATTGAATGGGCAAAAATTAAGTAGACCTGATATGGTTGATGAAAATACGTAAGTAAACTTTATATGATATAAATATATAAATATATAAATACATATATCTGCTGTACAGGCAGTGCTTGTGTGTGAAAGGCAGGCGTTGCAGTCCCAACATTAGCAATACTGACCTTACAAGGAGCTCCGCTTCCCGGAAAGGAAGATAGTCCCTTAGATGAGTGTGTGAGACAGTAGACCAACCCTTAAATGCTAGGAACAAACTCAGATACTTCCATATTTTCATACAAAGAAGAGAAGTCCCTCTAGGACTCGCTAAAGTCTTTACGCAATCATCACTAACTGTGCCAAGTAACATAGCATCTAACTGTTTAGAAAGTCCAATATTGCTTTGTATAAATCCTTATTTTATTAACAGAATACTATCATAAATAATCAGTATTATAACTGCTCTGTTATTTCAGGTAAGCAAATAGCTAAAATGCAGTAACCTACAGTAGCAACTCTGGACAACTAGGTATGATCTGGTTGTCTTAGGAGATTGGTCACACAGATTCTTAGACACTTTAATGGCTGCGATAACTGTGAACTCCATGATCCATGTTCCTTTTGTATGCGTGTGGCTTGATGCACACTCATTCAGAGTCCTGGGGTGCCCGTGCACAGCGGATGCTCATCTCAACATGACAGCAACCAGCTCTCATCTCGTGTCCCCAACACCATACCTTGCCATACGGTCTCAGGCCACAGCAGGCAGAAGCCCCCAGAGAGCCTCCATCAGGAACCACCCCAACCCGAGGCTGGTTCTAGTGTTTAGCAACCCAGGGCAGTATGTGTGTTTCCCATTTTGTTTTCTGAGTGGTAGCAGTGATCGTTGTAATTCCATGTAGCCATGTGCTAGCAGAACCCCTGTGTCATCTCCGTGGCCCATGTGACCCCGGCCGACAAGTGCCCAGCCCCCGCCAGGCAGAGCCCCTGCTGCCTCCTCATGGTCCAGTGAGCTGCCGGGGCATCACGTGACTCAGCTGTGCTCTTGTCGCTTCTGTGTTGTGATGACACCATGCGCTCCCTGGGGCCAGACGCTGCACGAGTCCGGTCTGTGCCTGAGTCACCCATGGGCTGTACTTTGTAGTTTCAGCCTTTCGAGCCACTGCAGCCGCCAGTGCTTTGCTCCTAAGCCGTGGGACCGGAGGACTGCCCCATGGCCCCCGCCCAGGCAGAGAGCCCTTTCAGAAAGGGCGAAGCTAGAGCCTCACTCTGCGGGCCGCACTCAGTGGACAGCGTGGTGAGCCCTGGCTGGATGGCAGGAAGAGAGGGGCTCACTCTGGCTGTGTCGCCCAGGCTGGCCGGGGTTTGCTGCTGGCCCTCCTCACACCCTCACCTTGGCCATGTCATTGAGCTCACCGTACCAGCAAATCTGCAAACCGAGCACTTTGTTAATCTCTGCAGAAAGCAAATACAGCAACCTAGAGTTTAGCCTTTTTAAAGATAAGTGTGACTTTAACCTGCCCACTCTTGTCCTCTCATCGGTGTGGCATTTCTTTCTTGGCATTTGCTCAGGAAGAAAAAGGACGAGTGTGTCTGGGTCAGGCTGGGCTGGTGAGGGTGCTCTGCTGTCACCAACTCTGGGCTCTGGTTTTCCTTAAGAGCCAGGCTCCCAAGGCACTCTCTGTCTTGCGGTTTCCAAGGATGTTGTTCTGACTCGGAAAAGCTGGATTGTACTGCATGTCATCCGGTGTCAGTCGTGCGAGGCTGCACTCTGTATTGTACCTTTACAAAGTATATCAGTGTGACTGTTGACAAATAGTTGAAGTAAAGTGGTAACATATTGAGTATGTCGGCTTTTCTTCACCCTCCTCTGTACCAAGAGTTGCACTGTGACCTTAGGTTGTTCCAGAAAAGATACGGACCATGTGGTACAGAATTGCTCTTTCTGCAGGGGTGTCACTGACAAACAGAACTCAACAAAAAGAATAAACAGTAATCCCGGAACAGGGGCTTTCTCTGCGTCCCTCTCCACGGCTGTCCTGTGAGCTCCCAGGTGCCAGCCCTGTCCCCAGTGTGTCCTGCCGCAGTGCTGGGCAGCAGGGCTGCACCTAGTGCAAGGGGCTTCTAGAACACTCAGCTCCTCTCTGGGGTTCCAACTTTATTTGGCGTGTGGGTTCAGGCCAACAAGGTTTCATCCTTCCAGGTGTTTTATTTGCAGGCTATCAGAAGTGCTTACAGAGGTACACAGTTGGGTGCAGGAGGCTGGAGTCATGGTGCCCACATCTTGTCTAGGAAGCAAAAGCCCCTAGTGAGCTGGTGTCCCCGTGTGTCTTTCATGGGACTGTCCTCTATAGATCCCCACTTGTCACAGAGCCATAGCTTCGGGACCCTGTCCTCATGTCCTCCGAGAGGGGAGGCAGAAAGAGCTGAGGGCCCCCGGGTGTCTGCCTCACCCTTTCTCACTGTCGGGACACCCTTGGGGCATCTTTCTCAAGTCGCACAAACTATTGCAGTTACATACAGAATTGCTGACAGCAGGAGACCCTTAGGGGAGGCAGCTGGTATGTGACAAGTCTTTTCTGGGACAACAAATCAAATTATGTATTTGTATTTTTTTAAGTTTATGAATGAACTGTATAACAATGTAAAAATAAAGTTCATCCTAATATGATGCACACATCTTGCTTAAAAATGTCTCAGCACCCAGCGTAGAGTGATCTTTCTGCCACATGCTGCATGCAGCACGAGCCTCTTGTGTTTTTAACAATGAGCTGAAAAGAGCAGATTTTTAAGCCCGACACTAGGTGTTGGTTCAGCGCTCCATAGGAAGCTCTGTCCCCACAGGTAAGCATGCACCTTAGTTTTCCTTGTGAAATATCATCACCCTTCCTGCCTAAAAGAATGAGTAAGTTTGTAAGTATTTTATTTAACCACAATAGTCACGGCAGCATTGCAAAGTTAATTGAAGTGGGGATGGTGAACACGGGACAGGCAAGGGGCGGAGCCTGCCCTCCGCGTGGAGACAGCGTGCACACCCGGGCCACTCCTGTCTGCAGTCACCCTGAGGCAGCACGGAGCATGCGTCCCCTCTTGGGTGCTGCCATTCACCTCCCAGGATGTTTTAAGCAACTAGAGTCAGGTTTTGAATGCAAACAGCTCACAGGCTCCCGAGGAGCCGGCGCCCGCTGTGCAACGGAGGAAGAGTGCTTTGTTCTCTGCGCTCCGGCTGTGAGCAGTAACAGACTATGGATGTAAGCCATGGCTGTGATCTTGTGGAGAAATCAAATAAACCCTTTGAAACTCTCGGATTCTTACTCTTTCTGAAAGGTCACGTTGCCCTGCTGGCGAGACACAGCTCTCCTGCTGACACGTTGACGCGTTCCTTGTGGCTTTGAGGACGCCGATAGGAGATTAAAGATAAAGCGACACATCACAACTTAGCAACTGACAGAGTATTCCAAAGGTATTTATAATTTCTCACAACTTCCAACAGATTTGGGTCCTCACGGAGTTGGAGGACACCTCTCCCACGATGTGCTGAGGCAGCTCGGAGTGACTCAGGGAAGGAAAAGCAAGCCGGTCCCCGCTGGCCCGGTCTGCAGGCTGAAAAGAGGCGATCCTGAGGCCAGGGCTGCCCGTTTTCCCGCGTCGGCTAGCAAGATGTGACGTACAAAAGCCACGAAGGCGCCCGCTGCTCCTGGAAGGAGGGGCCTGTGAGAACGTGGCTGGCTTGCCCCGAGTCCTTTCCTGGCCAGATTCGGTTCCCGAGAACCCCATCTTAAGTTTCAGCACATGTTATGAAATGAATTAAAACTGGTAGATATAATTTGTAGAAGATGAAAAAGCTCAGTTGTGGTGCCCAAACCCGGCTGTGGTGCGCCCTTCGTGCGGAAGCGGCTGACTGAGGGGCGCGCTCGGACTGCTGTCTCCCCCGGCACTCGCAGCCAGGGGCCTGCGGTTTCAGGGAACACGCGCTGCTTGTGCTTGGCATGACTCCTGTCTCTGCAGCTGGGTGTCCGTCCTTTGTACAGGCCATCGGGACCTCCTCAAGAGAGCGACGCTGGCTAAGAAAAGTGCCCAGAAACACCCAGGCGTGTTTCCGGGCTCACTCTGGCGACACGCTCCCTGCCACGTGCTGCGGGTGGCGGCCAGCTTCTCAGCCAGTGCTTCAGGGTGTGGCTGTCCCTTCCCTGAGGCTGAGCGCCCCCCGAGGGGCAAGAACTGTGCCCAACCTGCCTCTGCGTGTCCAGTCTGGCCCAGCACTGAGCTTGTCAAAATGCATGTGAAAACGAACTGATGGCTGGAAGGGGCAGGGAGGCTGGATCGCAACCAAACCAATGGCCGATCACAGAGTGTGTAGATCACCATCATCCTGCTCATCAAAACTGTACGCAACTTGGTTGCTCAGCCCCTGCTACCCATGACATCCACAAGTTTGGGAGACACCTGGCAGAGCCAGACTCAGAACATGGTCCATGCTCGCCGACCAGTCCTTCCCTCCGTGCCACTGCACCCAGGACACGCTCAGTCCTCCCTCCACAGGCCCTCAGCAGATGACACATGGTTCAAGCTTCCTTCTTGAAACAGTATTTCCTTGGCAACTCTTGCTCTCTGGAGACTCCCTCGTCACCTTTTTTGTAGGCCAGCCCTCCCCCACGGAGCTCGTGCATGGTGCTGAGAGGAGCCAGCCTAACCCTCTACCTCCTTCGCCTTCTCCCAAGGCAATGTCCTACAGACCACGGCTCAGTGTCCCTTCTCCATGGCCCTGGCTTCCACACTTGGGTGTCCAGCTCAGACCATGTTCCCTTGGCATTTTCTTTTCTTTTTTTTTTTTTTGAGACAGTCTCACTTTGTGGCCCAGGCTAGAGTGAGTGCCGTGGTGTCAGCCTAGCTCACAGCAACCTCACACTCCTGGGCTCAAGCAATCCTATGGCCTCAGCCTCCCGAGTAGCTGGGACTACAGGCATGTGCCACCATGCCCGGCTAATTTTTTTCTATATATATTAGTTGGCCAATTAATTTCTTTCTGTTTATAGTAGAGACGGGGGGTTCACTCTTGCTCAGCCTGGTTTCGAACTCCTGACCTCGAGCAATCCACCCACCTCGGCCTCCCAGAGTGCTAGAATTACAGGCGTGAGCCACCAAGCCCGGCCCCCTTGGCATTTTCAACAGCACTTCAAACTTTTATCTCCATGACCAAATTCTTTTTTTCTTTTTTTGGTGCCATTCTCAGATCATGATCACACAGCCACAGAGAGGAGAACAGATCCTGTCCTGTGTTCCCTGTATTGGCAAATGGCATCACCAGTGAGTTGTTCAAACCCAAACTTGGGGTTGTTGAGGTACCCCACAAGCATTAGATAAAGGTGCTGTTGTCAAGGCAACCTCCGTGATGGTTAATACTAGGAGTCAGCTTGCCTGGGCTAAGAGATGCCCAGAAGCTGGTAAAACATGACTTCTGGTGGCTCTGGGAGAGATGCATTCATTACACATGAATTGTAGACTGTCTGAGATCACCCTCACCAACGGGAATGGGCCTCCTCCAGTCTGCTGACAGTTGGGATGGAACAAAGTTGGAGGGAGGGTGAATTCATTCTGCTTGACCTGGACATGAGAACTTGACCCGGGCATGAGAACTCCAGGTTCTTGTGCCTTTGGACTCTATGTCTCAGACCACTGGACTGCAGGTACTCAGGCCTTTGGCCTAGGACAGAGAGTTACACCATCAGCTTTTCTGATCCACAGGCCTTGGGCTTGGACTGGACCGCACCACTGGCTCCTCAGGTCTCCACCTTGCAGCTGGCACACCTGGGCTGCCAGGTTCCACAGTGGTGTGAGCCAGTTCCCATAGCAAGTCTGTCCCCTCGTGTGTGTGTGTGTGTGTGTGTGTGTATGTGTGTGCTATTTGTTACGTACTCTGGTGAACCCTGACTAATACAGGTCTAGGACAGAAATAAAACCTTCCTAAATACAGAAAAATAAATATAAAAAACAAAGCAAAGACAGGGGTGGAACGGACCACAAATCTCAGAGTGAAAGGTACATAAGTATATATAACACACACAATAAATTTGCAACATCAAACAATATTACAGAATGAATAACATACCAGTTCTATCAATAAATGTAAATGTGTTTAATTCCCTTATTAAAAGAAAATAGCTTAAGATTGGCTCATGAATTCTAATTCTGTGTGACAACCCCAAACTCAGTGGCATTAAACCACCATTTATTTCTCAGTCCTGCCTCTGCACATAGATAGGTCTCAGCTGGTCTAAACTAGGGTTAGCCTGAGCCACAGGGGGCTTAGATCTGCTCCACCTGTCTCTCATCCTCCTGTCCCCATGTGGAGGCATGTCCCAGTCATGGCAAAAGGCTGCAGCGAAGGAGGTGAGCCTGTCCTGCAAGCACACCGCACAACTTCGCTTGTGCTGTGCACACCACAAACACCCCGCTGACTAAATCGGTCCACACCCAGCCCAAGTGTCCCCTGCCTTGGAGGAAGTCATGGCTAGCGTTCTATACTCTAGTACTGTATTCAGTCTACTCTAGATCACAAGGCAAAAGCCAGCCAACTCTATGTCAACAGACCACAGGCACACTTCAGACAAAAGTTCAAAAAAGGCTAACCATAAAGAGATGGGCGGATGTGTACAAGTATGTGAACCCCAACGTGGGGTCGGGGAGTTACAATCTTGATGTCTGACAAGGTGGAAATCATCCTTAAAAACAACATGCAAAATAAAGTGACTTGATAATGCTAAAAGCTATAATTCCCAATGAAGACATTATGAGAATATCTATGCACCACATAAGACAGCAGCAGTTGTCAAAAAGCAAAAACTGCCCGGGCGCAGTGGCTCACGCCTGTAATCCTAGCACTCTGGGAGGCTGAGGCCAGAGGATTGCTTGAGCTCAGGAGTTTGAGACCAGCCTAAGCAAGAGCAAGACCCATCTCCACTAAAAATAGAAAAACTAACTTGGCTTTCTGGCACATGCCTGTAGTCCCAGCTACTTGGCAGGCTGAGGCAAGAGAATTGCTTGAGCCAGGAGAATTTGAGGTTGCTGTGAGCTACGATGATGCCACTTCACTCTAGCCTGGGTGACAGAGCAAGACCCTGTCTCAAAAACAAAGAAAAAACTATAGGAGATGCAAGAAGAAATAACATATTTGTAACAGGTTGAACATGCCACTCTGAATCCAAGACAGGTTAAAAGGGCCAGAATCCAACATGAAATGACATAGAAACCCTCAGTCTCTTATAGATATAATACCAAACTGTGCTCCAGTAACAGAGAACACTTTTTCAAACACACATGGAACATTTATGAAACCTGGCCGCTTATTAGGCACAAAGTAAACATCAGTAAATTATATAAGGCCGAGATAATCCAAATATATATTCTAATCACAATACAGTAAAACTAACAATTGAAAAATCAAAAAATCTTTTCCGGCCAGGCGCAGTGGCTCACGCCTGTAATCCTAGCACTGTGGGAGGCTGAGGCGGGAGGGTCACTCAAGGTCAGGAGTTCAAAACCAGCCTGAGCCAGAATGAGACTCCCCACCTCTACTAAAAATAGAAAGAAATTAATTGCCCAACTAAAAATATATAGAAAAAATTAGCCTGGCATGGTGGCACATGCCTGTAGTCCCAGCTACTCGGGAGGCT